AATGGAATATTGTTTATGATCTGTTTAAACTTAAAACTTTCATCCAGTGAATTTGAGGATCACTTTTCTGATATTTGGATGCATTGGTGACATTAAAGCGGATACACTTATCTGTCTGACCACGTACCATATTTCGATTTTTTGCCTAATGTCCGCTTGGTTGCCCACTGTGCATTGTCAGCTCAAATATGAAGAAATTAATTTTAGTCCAAACGTTCAACAAAATAAGGGAATAAAAAGATATGTTTTGTATAGAACATGTTCATTTCTTATAAACATGTCGGTAGTCTTTCGTCCCATCTCTAGCTGTGGGGTAGGCGTAATACGTGTGACTTGTGTTAAAATCAACATTAATACAACTAACAAATCGTTAGCAATGGAAATAGTTTCTCAACGTTAGGTGACAACTTTCTATGAAAAGATCCCGATACAGACGGGACTTCTCTCAACTTTCAATAGATATTTCATTTCAGTCCTTCTATATATAGTACCATATGAAATTCAGAAAAAAATTCGTACAAAAATCTAATGTATTAACTGAAGCTATTTTCGTCTGCAGTTTTTATCTCTAACATAACAGACGATGACTAAAGCGAACAGAATATATAGATCTTTTAGAAATGCAGTTCTGGATAAGCGAAAATATTGCCGGACAAGATAGAGATGGTAAAACAATGAGTGCTAGACTGATATCTTTTTTTCTTTCTTATATGTCAAAGTATACATTATTCAGTATAAATTAAAGATTAATTTAAAGTTTGACCTATTGACATATATATTCACACAATATATTCTGTATGTATTCTGATGATGCCGTCTGTTATGTTAGAGATAGTACAGAAATGGTTACAGTTAAGTTATTCACGTAAAACTTATATATTTAATTTCTTATGTTTCCAGCAGTCTGTTATAAGGATAAGTTCCTATTACCAATCACTGTATCATCGATAGAAACGAAATATGGTAAGTGTTAAAGGATGACAACAATACTCATGTCTCGAGAGAAACAATATTTAGTTGACTGAAAGCGGTAGTGACGCCATTGGTATTTGTTCGGTAACCTATTCGGCTACACCCTTATGTTTATTCGCAAAAAGGTTTTAATAAACAGAAGTACTCTGAGTACTACTGAGTGTTTGACATCGGACATAATTGTCTAAGATGGAATTTATGTAGCTGTAAATGTTACCCTCATTCCATTGTTCTTTAAGACCAACATTCTGTACGCTCTCTTTCACTCTAGGCAATAAACGCAAACTACACTAAACATTTAATGCTTATTATTTAAGTTGCTTAATTGTCCACAAGCATCGGAGGTATTTACTTTTCAGCGTTTACTAAAACCAGGTTAGCTACTTATCTCTTCAAAATTGTTTGTTTTATAACATCTTGTTTTTACCTTGTTACTACTGATGAAGATTTTTATGTAATCGAAACATTTAGTAAACACGAATAAAAATACGAAGGAAAAGAAAGAAAACATTAAGGTATGAATTATATGTCACACTTCGTGACTAATTAACAGTTAAGTAATGAAAAACACACACGGTCAGAAAAAAACTATAAATGGACTATTCATCATCCGACTCATCAATAATTTCAGGTATTCTAGTTCGATTCTTCTATCGCAAACGATTTAACACTATAGAAGTTTGCTTTGCTTACTGGCATATTTTGAGATCAATTTCCTCGACTATCTGTGACAGATAGTGAACGGACCAGGTAGCTCAGTCATTAGAACGGCGACATTCGACGCCGAAGATCTCAGTTCGATTCCTGGTCTGGTCCATCATTTTTCCTTTACGCTATCTAAAATAGTAGAAAAGAATCTCCACTGCACTTTTATGTTGCAAATTTCTTAAATGGTTCAATGTGGAAAGATTTCATGTTTTTCATTGGAAAGTTTTTCAGAACTTTCCGCATTTTCAAAACCTTTTCCAGGTACATCCGTATGCGCATGCAGGTTGATTTTGAAGCTCTACCTCCCTAGTCGACCGATCTTATGGCAATTCTATAGAAATCTTATAAGAGTCTTATATAAGGCAGTCGATGGAAATTTATTGATAAGATTCTTATACTAAGGAATATAAGAATCTTTTAAGATTCCGATAAGATTTCCGGCAAGATATATGAGTTATATGAATTATTTTATAAGAATTCATAAGGTTTCTATAAGATTCTGATAAGAATCTTTAATCTTATAGGAAGGATATTGTATGATTTCATCACATTCTTTAGTGATCAGTACTCTATATTCTATTTTCATACTATAATAATGTTTCATTCGTGAATAAAATAATTTTCTTTCCATTTATTTAACTTTTCTGTAATAAGGCCGTAATCCACGTGGACAGTCTCATGACTTGTCCTCACTGCCTGCTGCTTGTAGACCGAATTTACTTCCACAAATCTATCATAACTACAGGAAAAAAATGAAGTTCGAAAAATAAAAACATGTGAGATGAGAATGCAGAGCACGACTTGTTGCTCGTTTGTATAAATGTCGCTTTCTCAAATTGATCTCTGGAAAAATGCGCTACTTACGGGCCTTTTCTTTCTTTAAAGATCAGATTCAATTCGGACACGTTCAAGTCGCAGAAAATAGAGCAGGTCAAATACTAATATGCATCAAAACTCTTTTCATATCTGTCTTAATAAAGGACTAGAAGCAATCATAAAAGAACTTCATCCACTAAGTTAAGATTCTGATAAAAAGTGGGATTTACAGAACCGAGCAACAAGTTGTTCCCTGCATTCTCATCTCACATATCATTAACTTTTGAACTTCATATTCTTCCTATAGTCATAGTAGATTTGTGGTCATAAGTAAATTCGGTCTACAAGCAGTAGGCAGTGAGGACAAGTCATGAGACTGTCCACGTGGGACTACGGTCTTATTACAGAAAAGTTAAATAAATGGAAAGAAAATTATTTTATTCACGAATGAAACAGTAGATTATAGTATGAAAATAGAATATAGAGTACTGATCACTAAAGAATGTGATGAAATCGTACTATATCCTTTCTAATAAGAGATTCTGATAAGAATCTTATTAAGAAATTCATAAGATTCTTATTAGATTCTTGCAGATATTCTATAAGATTCCTATAGGAATTTTATATAAGATTTGATCTCTAGGGCTATTTTGGTTATCAGTCTTAGCTCGTATTCTCATTCTTTGTCTCTTGTTTCTTGCTGTTAGTTGTTTCTTTGGAAGACGTGTAATTGGCGATTCTAGCTTTCTCTAATGCCTTTTATCTCCTTCATTTTCTAATGAAATTGCATTTGTTTAGACAATAACAACACTTGAATGGTTACCAAATGAACTTTATGATTTTATTTTTCTCTATTTGAAATCGATCGACGTTATATACTCATTTTTCAATTTGAACTCTCGTTTTAATAGTCTTATCTATCCGTTTATGTGGGCAGTAGATCTGTCTACTATCGATAAACATGTACTCAATGAATATTGTCAAATATTTTTACCAAAAATTAGACGTCATATAAAAAGTATTAAATTTGATGATAAAAATATTCATCGTATCATTCCAATATCAACAACATACCCAAATATGTGTTCTCTTTCAATAACAGATATCGGCATAGGTGGAAAATATTTATCTTATTTAGAATTATTTAAACAGTTAGTTAGTTTAGAATTACATTTTGATAGACAACAATGTGATGAAAATATACCAAATGATGTATACTCAAATTTATTTCGGTCAAATTCTCAACTTCAAATATTATTACTTAATAATATTTGCATAACGATTAATGATAAAAGTATTCATCCGTGTTTCATTAAAAAGCTAAGAATAGATTTACGGTCTCTGTATGATTTATTTATTTTATTAAACAATTTACCATCAATTGAATATGTAAATGTTGGAATACGCAACGTTATCGAACGACACAATGACAAAAATTTTAAAAAATTCTCATCATTGTCAAGATTGAAAGAATTTATTTTTTTCACTATTCAGATCGTAAATTATCGTTCTCTCGAGTTGTTATTGTCTCAGTGTTCTGCTTTAGAACATTTATCGTTGGATTTAGATAGTACTCAGTTTATTGATGGTTATCGTCTAGAAACTAAATTGTTAGCGAAATTATCGAAATTGAAAAGATTTCATTTTTGTCTTCGTATTCTAAATCCTTATCTAATGAACATTGACAATTATGTTGAAACTTTTAAGTCATCCTACTGGCTTAATCATCCTATTTTATGTTTTAAAATAGTATTACGTCGTAGTTATTATTGCGTTTTTTCATTACCTTTTGCCTTTCATCATTTCCTTTCGTTATCAAGTAATATCACCAATTATCGATCGAATATCGATGATATTTCTATATGTAGTAAACAAAATAAATTAAAAGAAATTGGTTTATATGATACATATGAGCCATTTTCATTAGGAACATTTCAATTTATTAAACAAACATTTCCATTAAATGTTGATTTAGAAGATATTAAATCCTTGTTTCCAAATGCTAAAATAATGCAATGAACTAATAATAAGGTAAAGTTTTACTTCCGTTCACTCTATTTCAGTTCAATTTTAAAGGCGTGAAAAACACAAAAATAGCGAAAAACTTTAAATAATAAATATTTTTGTAAGATATGGGTAAGAGCACGGTGAAACGAGAATGAGTATATTTAAATCAGCTTTTAAAGGTCTATTGAATAGTATTTGATAAATGTTTTTTAAGTGTCTGAAGTGTACAGAGTTTTACATTGCTGATTGTATATTAGTAACTTTATTAGTGGCATTATTTGTAAGAGTACACAGTCTAGTAACGGATGGCGACATGTAGTTGAACTTGACAATGATTAGAAAATGAATTGTCTCTTTCCATTTACAAATAAGTTTGGTAGATGATCAAGGCTCAACTCGAATAATAATGTTTGAAATAAAAAAACGAAGAGGAAAATAGCAGTTAATATATTTGATTTTTGTATGAATTTTTTTACTGAGTTTCATAAGCTCTTCCTCTTTTCTTTCAACAATCTTTTCGAGTTTTCTTTCACAAAATTCTTTTCACAAGTTTTTGTTTGTTTGTAACGTTGAGAAACTATTTCCATTGCTAACGATTTGTTAGTCGTATTATTGTTGATTTTTACAAGTCATACATATTACGCCACAGCATACTATTATCAACTCATTTGATGTTATTTAAAATTAGATTCATCCTGCAGACAATATTGAATTAAGAATATTCTCACATTTTAAATCTTATTGTCAGTATTATGGGGTGAAAAAATTATGTTCAAATGTCGAAAACTACCAGTGAAAAATTCAAAGGTGTCATTGAAATAGATGAAAGACAGTAACTGCTATCTTTACGTTGTATGCTTAAAATGATGCACGAATTTTGCTCGTGTTAATTATATTTTGCACCACTGTGAGTTTCCATTGGTGCAAGGGGACCATTTAAAACTAAATAGGACTGTTTTAAATATTATATATTTGGTAGGGCTAATGTGTTGAAATCTGTGACGTGTGCTAGCGCATTTTTAGATGTTTTCCATAGAAATCTAGAAATGAACAGTTAAATGGGTTAACATATGTTAGTAGTTTCTAGATGTGGCCGGAAGGATTAACTTTTAACCAACCGTTTCTATTTCTACATTTCATTTTTTAATTGTAATTATCCTTCGTTTCAATGCTCCTGCCTGCTCTGTTTTTCTCTGTACTTGGATCCTGTTCATTTTCTAACAGGAAAGTTAGAAAAATTGAACTGTAAATACATTATCCAAATGTTCAAAAATTGTCTTCTTTCACTAAAATTTCAAAACAATCAACGAAGACATGTACAAGATCTAACGCTCAAGAGAAATTTCACTGAAAAAAAAAAGAGCTATTGTTCAAAGCTGATCGATTTTCTGACACATATGGGATCCGAAGGACAACCAAGGGTGTAGAACCCCATGAAATTGTATGCTCTTTCATTCTAGATACCTTTCGAGCAGATCTGAAATGGGGCCGATCCTCGTTCTTATTGCACCCCGTCCTTTATTGTTTTATCTAAAAGAACGTGAAACTCATGCCGAGTTTTATACGCAGTTTCTCGCAGTCAGTTTGGCACAGTTTTTTTTCACGGTTTTAGTTATTCATGCTTTTGTCTCCTATGGTTCCTATATGACAGTTTTGCTTTGATGGTTTTAAAACTATTAGAAAAACCGTCCGGGTAAAACTGTGCAAGTAAAACCGTCCACTTTGAAAGAAAACAAAAAAAGAACAGCACCTCCAGTAATCGAACCTGAGACGCTTGGCGAGTATGAATTATGAGATCAAGACACAAACCTCTGAACTGAGGAACTTACAGAAGTATGTCTTCGCACAGCATACGTATCATATTCTCGGGTAGACTTCTGTAAAAACTTGAGCATCTTACGAAAAGCTGTCGCTGTTGAATTTGTAAAGCTCCTCGCTATCGTACATGTGTTTGAGACATGAAAGAGAAACGCTAACTGTATAGGTGTGTACATATATCATACGATACCATCGCCTGTATTCTATGACGAATGTCTAGAAACTTATGATTAGGAGAAGATGTTTACTATACCCTTTCTCTCTACCTTCTAAGACTACACGCATCAGAACAATTTCCCAGTTTCAAAGAAAAGAATTTGTAAAACGAAAAAGTTCACAAAACAAGCATATTTTGCAGAAACATGCGCTGGAGGACGTCTTCCCCTCCTCCCTGTCCCAAGTGCCAGTTTTACTCACTTATCTACCCGGCTATGCTCTTTACTGAATAATCCTGAGCGTGAGATAGATTTGTCGAGAAGCTCAAAGCTCACTCTATTAAACTTATGTTAGTTGATTAGGAAGACTTTCTGACGTGCTGACGACTGAAACTGCATATATTTTAATGAATTTTGAAGCTTCGACAAAACCGTCAACTAAAAAGCATGAAAGTGCTTTCACGGTTTTCCTCTTCACGTTTTTGTTTTCCTTTGACAAACTGTCAGTTCATAATTTTATTTCTAAAGTTTTGACCTTTACGATATTTTGTACAGTTCTGAAACTGACGGTTTTATTTTACGGTTTTATTTTACGGTTTTTCTTCGACGGTTCGAAAGTGGACAGTTTTTTTCTATGGTTTTAACCTTGACGATTTACTTCCATAGTTTTTCTTTTATACTTTTGCATTTTACGGTTTTCATAATGTAGTTTTTTACTTCATGGTTCTTCCACACGGTTTTCTTTCGATGGTTATGGATTTTACGGTTTTTTTCCAAGTAGCGCATTTGTCTAGGGATCAGTTTGAAAAAGCAAGATTTATACAAACCAGCAACATGTCGTGCCCTGCATTCTCATCTCACATATTTTTATTTTTCGAACTTCATTTTCTTCCTGTAGTCATGATAGGTTTGTGGAAGTAAATTCGGTGTACAAGCGATAGACGATGAAGACAAGTGATGACTGTCCGCGTGGGACTAAGTTGTTATTATAGAAAAATTAAATAAGTGGGAAGAAAATTATTTTATTCACGTATGAAACAATAGATTATGGTAAGAAAGTAGAATATAGTACTGATCACTAAAGAATGTGATGAAATTGTACTATATCGTTTATGAGAATCTTATAGAAATCTTATCAGTTTCTTATATAAGATTCTTATCAATATCTTACGCATTTCCATCGACTGCGTTATATAAGATTCTTGCAGATATTCTATAAGATTTGATTTCTAGGGCAAAGGGTTAAATTCATTCGTTTTCATTATAATGATGAATCACACCCATAATGATGAGGAATTCAAATAAACTTATTTAGACTTACATCCATAAAAGGATCGAAATGTAAGTGTAGCTGTTTAGATGTTAGTATGGTGATGAACTGTTCTTATTCACACGTTTTTTAGATTGCTTTTAAAGATTTTAATGTTAAATGAGATCAAATTATAAGTATCCTAATTTAACTGAAGAAAAAAGCCCTAAATTAATTCCTTCTTATTTCTGTCGCTTTGAGCTGACAATGAACATTTAGGGCCTCTCGTAAATTTTATAACTTTGCAAAGAAAGGTCGTACAGAGCTGGAAGGCGTCTCATTTTAATCAGAAATTTTCGGGCTACGATCATGCCTCATTGAGAAAGGTTTTGATTATTTTTCAGCGTTTCTAGAAAAACAGTTTTCCAGAAACCGGTATTTGCAAGACCTAGGGGAAAACCAAGGTCAGATTCGGATTCAGGATCATCGATTAACTGTGGTCCACTACTTTTTACGTCAAAAGCGATTAAACACTAGGGGATCATTCCTCGTAAGTGAATGCTCGATAAAATTTAGTGAGAATTAAATAGAAAACAAATCAGTAGCCCTTGTTTTCTAACTCTCGTAATCAATCTCTAAAACTCATTGCTAGTTCTCATGAAATTAGTTTTTCTTAAAAGGATTTCTAATCAAAACAAACTACATAGTCAATCCATTCTGTTCGCCACTCTACAATGAACTCTTCACGAGACAGGTTTTCTTTGAAAAATAATTATTTTGGGTTTAGTCTGATATTCTATCTACTTAACTTCATTTCATTCACTATTGAATAATAGATCGTAATTACTGCACTCTTGCACAATAGCACGTTTCAACGCACGTGTCAAAATTGTATTTCAGTTGAGAAACAAATATTTTCATAGAAACATTCGTTTATCAACTGGGATACCTGATTAAAATATCAATTGTATCTCAGTTGAGTCCAAACCATCAGAACAAGTTGAAAACTTACGGATTTGGATAGTTTTGTCCAATACACATGATTATAAGATCGAAAAAGCATATTTTTGTTTATTGGTTTTTCCAGAAAACCTTATGGTTTGGTAAAATCTCATTCTAAATCTCCTATAAATATAATATAGAAGAGCCTAAATAAATCTGAACTTGTTCTGATGTTTTCTGAGTGAATAGTGAATTTTTTAATATTACGTGAAAACAGCCTGGAAATTCAAATTTTCGTAAAACTCGCTTTTCGCTATATTTTTAAAACTTTTTCTAAAAACAAATACTGCGATGAGACTCTGCATCATCGATTACTTATAACCCACCAGTTTTCGAGGCTACCAAGACTCATCCGATACCAGTCCTTGGACTTGTAGGAAATCCGATACAACATTCGAACGGCGGAAAATCAAGGTTTCACTTCACTCCCATTTAGAAGAGAAGATCTCTGACTACCAGTTCATGAAGAAAAATCAATAAAAGCCTGTTGGAAATTTTTACACATAATCTGGCTTTTCAAGAATCTCCTAGAAAATCTGTTTCAGAAAACTCTTCTCAAAAACATGTTGCTTGTGGAAACATGCCCTAAAGTCTCCTCTTTCGCATAGCCAAAAAACGCAGCTCTCTAGCTGCTTTCTATCAAAATTTATTCAGAAAACATCGGACTGTCTTATATTTTAAAATAGATAGTAGTACCACAAGAGTCTTCATCATGTTTGAGGTTATTACTCAGATTTCGATATTTTTAGAATGTTTTTCTCTTATTCCAAGGTCATATTCCAACCCCT